GCTTGCAGATGGTTTTAGAACAAGTCCTCTTCCCATTCCACAGTCAGAGACCACGGTGACCATAGTCAGTGGGCAAAGGCAAGTTCCTAGGAAAAGAGCTGTCCCTGCTTACGGATTTGCACTTGACCTGAAGAGATGATGTATGACGTATTAACAGTGGGTCTAATAAAGCTGGAATGTTTTTAGAATTTCTTATTTATTGCTTGCATCAAATTCTGCCAGCTGTTATAAATGCTCTCTTCTCCAGAGAATGTAAATAATACAAGGTAAAAACAAATAATCTCACTCATTGGAGTCCACAAACACTTGGCAGCTGAGCTGCTGCTCAGTTTAAGAAGCACTGGGTTGGCTCAACAGACAAAATCTTGACAAGGTCCCTTCTTTCCTGGTCACTAGTTCAGATCCAGAGCAGGTTGATAACCTCCAGCTGCCGTCCCTGGGGGATGTGATGGAGCTGCCCGGTGTAAGCCAAAGGCTGCTGGAGAATGAGTAGTCCTTCCTCCTCCAGCCTCCCCTGCTGCTACACTGGTCTTCAGCCACAAAGGCGAGGTGGGCTGGAAATCAAGTGGGCAGAGAAAAATGCGGGGAGGGCAAGACATATCAGGGTAGGGCTGGAAACTCTCCCTTCCAGTGTCACAATTTGAGTTTATTATTTCCTTGTAGATGCTTTGGTATGTGCCAGTTTCCCATAGTATGTGTGATGTGCAGTGTTGTCTGACAGGCAGAGGCAGGAACACAGAAAATGTTTTCCCCCCTTTTCTTGCTTCCCACCCAGATGTAACTAGAGTGAATTTCCTGGAGTTAGTCGAGTTAAAAAATGGAGAAATGGGGGAGTGTTTGCTTAACACAGTTCTTCAGAAATGATGTTTCCTGTGTTTTATGTAATCTCACTGTGCCACATGGATAATGGCACAATGCTGTAGTACTGTGTTGGTTGGGAATGTTCCAACACTGCAGTGCTAGTCATGGTGAAGGGCAAGAGAACACAATTGTCTGGACTCTCAGCTTGTCTTTGGCATGTATGGAATGAGAGTGTTTGTCTTTGAGCCAAATGCTTCTTTCCGTGGGCTTCAGTTTAATTGTATTTATGATTTAAGGGACTTCAGTTTCCTTCCAGGCATTTCAGGTGCTTTTCCCTGTATTCCAGGAAGGAATATAAACCCACAATATCGGTGATGAAATAAATGGTGGACCAAAACTCCTTTGTCAAGGAGTCATCCTTCCTTTGGGAGAGCCAAGGTTCATGGTGGGGGGTCAGGTCTCTGCTGACCATGGTGCTCCTCATGCTGATCTGTAATGCAATGCTGCATTTTCCTTCCGGAGAGGGAAATACAACTACATCTGGTAATGATGTTATTCTTATTGCATTCGTGTGTTGCACTGCTGTAAGGACCTTGGAAACATACAGCCAGCCATCTGATCCAGCTTTTTCTTGACTCCACACATTCACTTACTCATCAGCTCTGAGGCATATTGACTTAATTCCCTCTGTTTTCTAATGCTGTGTGTGGTTTAATCACATCCCCAGGAAGAGGTGTAATTATTAAACCACAGGAAAGTTAATGACTGGTATTTGCTCTTCAGCATAACCCATTTTGGTGTCTGGGGTTTGGCATGTCATCCAGTGGGAAAACCAGCTCTAAGACATAATCCTCAAAACACACATGATTTTCCAGTGATTTATGCTTTGTTTTTTGTTTTGTGGGTTTTTTTTTTTTTTTCATGTCTCAGTTTTAACAATAGCATTGCTGGTTCTTTCAGAAAACTGTGTTTTTCTTGATCAAGCTTACTGAACTGAAAATTCTTCCTTGAAATTATACCATGTTTTATTTGGGGGATGGGTATTATACCATGTGTAAACCATATTTTACATAAAATTTGCATACTTGTGAAATTTTGCCTACAATACTTGTCCTTACACAAATGCATAATTCAGGGTTTTTTGGTTAAATCAAGAGCTCCTAATGTACTTTGCTTATTATGTATAAAATCCCTAGGAAACTGGCCAAAAAATGCTTATCATTTTCTTTACTGAGGGGAGTTTCTGGTAGTCTCTCCATAGCAGTTGTATATAAGCAGCTCTTTGTATGTCTTATGAATTCTGTTTGACTAATGATCCACGAAACTATAGCAAATTTTATTTTGGTCAGAAAGAAGGGAATAGAACCCATCAGAAAATGTAATTCCTGCATTTGGTTGGTACTTTATTTAGGAAATTATGATCTGAAATAAAATTTCGGCTTTTTTGTCTATGAGATTAATAAAAACATGATAAAATAATAAAAGTTCAGAAATAGGGCTAGTTTAACCATGTGTTTTAGTCTCCAGACAAAGTTTGCAAAACAAACAAGTAAGTTGTCAGCCATGGGCAGTTTCAGAGTCCCCATTCTCAGAGGAATTTAAAAGCCATGTGGATGTGGCATTTGGGGACATGGGTTAGCAGCATTGATAGTGCTGGGGAACGCTTGGACTCAGTGGTCTAGGGGAACTTTTCCAACTCAAATGATTCTGTGATTCCCTGCAGAGCTGCTGCATGCATTGCTTGCTGTTTGCATGTGCCTGCCCCTGCCTTTGCTGTTACCCAGACATCCCTAAATCAGACACCAGAGAGACTTCAGTATGTATGGACTTTATGACTTTGGGCTAGGGGGGAAGGAGGCTGGTGCAGGGATTGTGCTTTGTTTATTATGTTCGAAGTCCTAAGGTGGAATAGAATACCAGTGATAGATAGTTCAGGAAATAATTGTGTGATACTTGGGAAAACACCCATGGAACAGGGTGCTACTTTGTGTGAGCAAAGGCATCAGAACTGCAATGAGTAAACTTGAAATAACCATGCCTGTTTAAATTAACTGGTTAATAGCTCTGGAAATTGAGGGTTAGCAATATTTTCTGGAGTGGAGATAACCATGGTTTGCTTTGAGATGAATAAATCAGAATAGAATATTACTCGATTGCACTCTGATAGTTTTTCTTCCCAAACATTTGTGAGACTTCTAGTCTTACCATGCAGGAAATCAAACTTCTCCCCTTTTCAGATGTTTAGTCTGAGCTTTATTTGGGGCTGCTCTTAAAAACTACAAAAACCATAAAGGGTTGGTTCTAGTTTTATGTACAAACTCAACACTAGTGGTGTTTTACTACATTCACTTTAAAGACTGTTTCTGATTTTATATATTTCAGTTCAAGAATGTCAAGATTCCTAATTTAAACTGACCTTGAGGTAAAAAACAGACTTTAAGCTTTTGTTTAGGAATTTACAGTCATTTGCATGTCAAACTGGATATAAAGGCCTCCCACAGCACTGCAGCCCACTCTGCCTGGGTCTAAGGATTATACATGGTCTGGGCCTGGAGAATCAAGCTTTGGGATGAAAATCCATCATCCCTCCTCCGAAATGCCTTGGCTAGCTCCTCGACCTGGCAGCACAGTGAAGACAGGAAAAGTGTCCCTATCACCAACAACATTTCCCTCCTCTGTAGGTACAGGTGAGCTGCACCACTGAGGGTGACCCTCAAAGCAGGTCCTTTCTGCACGTCCCCTCTGGCACTGGCGGGCTGAAAGGGGTGGCACACGAGGCAGCTGGCTGTCTGCTGCCATAGCTCTGTGGCTATGCAGAATCTTAACTGAAGAAAATCAGATGATTTCTCAGTGAAAATGGCCATGGCATTGGAATTGTTTGCATGTTTAAAGATGAAATCTAGGAAAGTGCTTTTGTTTTTATGCAAGTGCAGGTCAAAAAGAAGAATGCCACTAGGGAGAAGGGAGGCAGTTGTTCACTTAGAAAGTTTGAAACTTGTTTTTGAAGCAATAGAACATATTGCTATTTTTTCCCCCACTCTATAAATAACTCTTGGCAGGCAGAAACAACCTTGATTGCATGAGATGAAGTAGAGCAACCAGCAGGCTCTACAGCAGAATAAATGGCACAGTGCCAAGAGCTTCATCAAATGAATAATAGCTTCCACTTGACAATCAGTAAAGTGCCTCTTCTCCTGTGGATTTAGTTTTTAATGATGATTAGAGAGGATGGGCCCCTAAAATTTCTCTGGTAGGAATGACCTCCTATTAATTTCTGTTACTTGAAATGCTGAATTCAAAGCTATTTTACAGCTGCAAAACCAAAGGCACTGACATAAAGGAACTATTATCTTTGTAATTGTAGCAACAAGTACTAAATTTGTCATTGATTAAGAGAGACTTTTAAACTTTATGACTCTTCTGTTGTCAATGTCCCTTACATAACGTTCTGGGCTACCCAGATTGCTGTCCTTTGGAAGTAAATGTTTGCTAAAGCGTGAAAGCCTATCTTGTGTATTAGGGACCCTTCCTCTGGTACTGCCTTGTTTAATTTAATTCCTTCACATGTTTTTTTCTGACATTTGGTACTGATGGTTGTGAGAAGCCAAGGGCATGTTTCCCTGTGTGGAGCATGGGAGAGCCCTTTCCAGGTGTGTGGTCAGGGTGGGAGGAGTGCTTTGGCAGTGGGGTGCATCACAATGAGAACAAATAAGTAAATCCCAGTCATCATTTTCCCCACGAACAGAGAGATTTTTTGTGCTCTGCTGAGTAAAAAACCTGGGGATTTTAAAGCAGAAGGATTTAATTGCCTTGAAAATGGAGACCTGCAACACATATCCCGTGCAACTTGCATTTTTTGTTTTGTTTAAAATAAAATTGTAGAAGAAAACTTTGGAGAATGCTGTTAGATCCTCTGTGTTGTTGTTTTAATTGGGAGTCGCAGGAAAGGCTGATTAGGAGTTAGTTCTTGATTAAAATGTAGAAACAAATTGTAGTCTAGTATTCTGTCCTTGGGTTGCTGCTGCTGCTGGCGGCTCAGGACAGCGTGCACCACACAGCGTTTAACAACTCGGTGTAATTTGACGGAGCTATAAGTTACTTTGTGTGATCAGCTCTGAAGGTCCCAGAGGTGCCTGTGTCCCTGCTAGCGAGCCCCGAAGGGCAGCAGAAGGCTGGGCTGTTGGGGAGGCTCACAGGGGCTGGCTGCCCCCCGCCCTCATCCCGGGGACCACCGCGGTGGCAAGGAGCCTCTTCCAGCCCTGGCTGCCACAGCCACTGCAGGGGCCAGCCCAGGACAGAGAGCCTGCCTGGGAGCCTGGCTGGCCCTCCACGCTCCCTGCAGCAAGGACAGAAATGGTAGAGGAAAGCAAGAAAGGAGACCGCATTCATTAATCATCGTGGGCATGAGGCTGTAACTAAATGAACAAAGTGAGTACTTGGGGTGAGTAAAATAGGCTTCAAAATGAATTCTAGAGCCAAAGGTGGTTTCAGAGGGCTTCCCTGGCATGCCACGCTGTGATGAAGTGTTAGCAGAGGATGAGTAAGGATCACTGTAATGAGAAATGTTTGTCAGAGCAGGTCCTCAGACTTGTTACTCATGGGGCTGCGGCTGCCTCAGTGTGTTGGACTTGACTCCCTGCAAACTGAGCCCTCTGCATGCATCTGAATCATGGTGAGAGGAAGCTTTGGCATCTATGGATAATACTTAGAGGGATGCTGAAGGGAAAAAATTATGAGAAAAACCTAAGACCACTACCCATATTACTGCATGTAGCAATGAGATGTGAGGAAAAACTGAAAATACAAAAATTAAGGGAGTGAGTTGTAACTACTTGCTTAGAATATTTTAAAATATTATGTTCTGAATTTAATTTTTTTTATTCATATGATTTTTTTTAATTTGTGAAAAAATGATTAGTTTTTCATAGTAAAAGACTGACTTTGAATAAAAACTTAGAACTATTAATTTAAACTTCTAAAACTGAATTTTGGATTGGATATTGAAACTGCCGGTTTCTCATAACTGACCTTTTTCCCTACATACAAAATTACTGTTGATGAATCAGCACATTTTTTTATATAAACGTTTCTCTAAAACCTCTTGGCAGGCAATGTAAGTATAGACAACATGTGCGCAGAGATAGAAATTTATTTCTGGACCTGGTATGTGTATTGTGGGAGTTGGAATTTTCTTCAGTTTGGCCATGAGTGAAAATTATCTTGTGAATATTTTCTGTAGATACATCCTTTGGCTTCCTTAGTGTGTTGTGTTGTATTGCAGTTTTTTGCCATGTCACCAAAATCTGAAATGAGCATTTTGGAGCGAGACATTGTGTGTGCAGGTCCAGCTGCTGGGTGCTGTGCCCCTGGCCTGGCACTGGCGCAGCAGTGCTGCGGGTGTGCTGCCAGCTGCTGTGGAATTGCACCGTGTGGCGGAGAGCAGAGCCAGAGGAGCCTGAGCTGCTGGTGCCCTGCAAGGGGAATTTGTGGGGCATTCTGGCCCTTGCTGGTTTTCCTCCTTTTAGCCACTGGGATCTGCACTAAACAATTTCATAATCGTACTTTATGGCTATTGGCAGAAGTTGGCTTTCATTTAGCAAGGAGTGACCTATCACTTAGAATTCTCACAAATGATGTGTGATCAGTTAACAGTGTTTAAACTACATTTTTCTGTCATCAGATGTGTAGTTCAGGGAATTTTCACTGAAACTATTGGAGCTCTTTTCAAGGTTTGGAGAATACAACAGACTATCCAATGCTGACAACAATTAATTGCTTTTGTGAGATGTCACAACACTTCAAAAATCATCATGTGCTTTAAATTCAGGGGACTATGAGACTGTTTCAGACACTGCTGTTAGTAAGCACTACTGTAACAGTGACCTGTGTGTGACCAAGGTAACACTGAGCCAGGAATGTAATCCTGGCTTGTGGTTTAGTGATTGGAGAGGCAGAGGAGTGTCCAGAACATCTGGTTACACTATGAGGATTCATTTTCTCCCCTGGCAGAGGCCGTGCACCATACCCTGTAGACCTTCAAAGTTCATGCTCAAGCTACATTGTGGTAAGAAAGGTGCTTTTGCGAAGTCTGTCCTACTAACAAATGGCCTTTGCACAGTTATGCACCTTCAAGAAAATCCAACATCTTATTCAGTAATTGATGACCCATTTGGCCTTTCTTTTTGCACTTCCTTCATCACAGAAGAACATCCCAATATTTACTCTGGGGTTTCAGTGTAAATGCTGGCACTATGGACATCCTTTTTAAGGCTGTGGCAACCTAGTATTTGTGTTTTAATGTAAATTTAAATATATCTGGACTATTTCAGAGGCACCAGCATCGTCTATGGAGCTCTAAGTTGTACATCTGTGAAAGCAAAATAAGGTACTGTGTAACACCTTCCCAAGAATGCTGCCAGGACATTGAGTCAAATTCAACTCACATATGTTAAAATTTTGAGTGTATTGTTTCAAGTTAATGAGTATAGCTTTAACTCAAGACAAAAACAAAAGCTCAAACCAGGTGAATACGGCTCTGAACCACACAAGAATTTCCCTCGTGATTTTTTTTTTTTTTTTGATCTTTAAGTTCAAATGAATAACGTAATCAAATTACTTTATAAGAATGGTAAGCTTTAAAATGTTTTATTCCAGTAGTGTGGCTTGGTCATTTTGTGGTCAGTCTGTGTAACTCAGAATGTGGTAAAAATAATTTATTGCAGGTATTATGAATAAAAATTAGTTTAGAATAAAAATGGTTTAGAAACCAGCCCTTGAGAAATTCTTATGATTTTATCTTGTAGAAATTAATAGGACTCCTTTGTAAAGCTTTGTCACAGAGATGTATTTTGTAGGTAATCAAGTTTTAGAGAGAATTAGTAATTTTCCATATGAAATCTAACTCTTCTAACTCTTATCTTCATATTTTAATAATAATTAAGAACAACTATATTTGTTTTTTTTCAGGAAGACTCTTCCCCATTTCAGTCTCCATTTTCTAACTATACCAAAAACCCCCAAAAAACCCCAAAACAAAACAAAACAAAAATCCAACGAAAACAACAACAACAAAAAACCCACAAAAAAAACCCCAAAACATGGCCAAATGTTTCAAGGACTTGTTAAGCCCTGAAACCTTCTGAAATCTAAACATGCAAGACAAAGGAGCTAAGACTGAAGCTTCCCACAGCAATCCTCTGACAGCTGCCTCAGCTGGGTTCAGAGATGCTCACATGTCTTCTACTGCTGTAAGCTGCAAGTTGTTACCTGCGCTGCAAAACAGAATGATGGTCCTGAGGTTCATTCTTTGTTAGCTACAGCTGCTTTTCCCATCATGGAGTAGATTCTTCTCACACAGATGGTCAAGGTCTTCTTTTATCAGCTGGAGATCAGACCACAGAAATTTCTGAAAATCTGGATGGAAGTGGAATAAAATCTACTGCTTTATTATTTTGGGTTTAGTGTATTTTGTACAGTTTTTATAGGTCTGAGCTATAAAGGGAGAGTCTTTCTTCTCAGGGAATACAACATTTGTTAACAGATCACAAGAAAATGCTTCAGCACAACCTCTGAGACTCTGAAAGTCTTCTTGATAATTTCTGATGCCTAACACTTTTTTAAAATTCTTAATCGGCTGATTTTTACCTTTGCAATAGGCACAAGACCTTGAAAATAATAGAAATTCCACCAAGTAAAAATTGACTTTTGGGCAGCTCTTGAGGGGAGGGAGGTGGACTCTAGTGTGTCTACAGTCCAGTGCCCACTTTTGCCTGGGAATTATTCAGCAGTCATAGCAGAAAAGAAAGCCAAGTAATTTATGCAACATCTTTGGCATAAAGCCTCTATATCACTGTGGCAGAATGATTTCTGATGTGAGCTAGAACACTGCCTTTATGGATAGATAGATGTGCCCTAAAATCACAGTTTCTGATCCCCCTGAGTGGCTGGAGGCAAATGCTGCCCCACTACTGCACAGGTGATGAAGATTTGGCTCCATTGACTAAATGACAGCAAAGTCTTGGTTCACTTCCAAAGGCTTTTACAAGAATGACTATGAATCTTGGCTTCTCCAGAGTGGTGTTCCTGAGAAAGTGCCTAAAAAACCACTTAGACCCCATTGAAGATGGAGTTTAATCGTTTCTGTTCCCAAGTGATTACTGCTTGCTAGAGGAAAATTGGCTGAAATATTCTAATAGTTTCCTGAAGTCAGTATGAATTTGGCTTGAGTTGGTAAACTGCAGAGCTGTAGTATCTAAGATCTGGGATGGAACAATAACTATTCCAATATTCCCAAGGAGCATGGGTAAAAAATGAACATGTTTAGGGCTCTGCTTGTTAATATGGGAATAGTAATAGATGTGCATTGTGAAATTTAAGATCCAAACTTGTTGCCCTTGCTCTTGCTGTGGTAATCAAAATTATTATATTTTCCCAGTATCATCATACTGATCATCCAAAATGCAAAGGCAGAACATGATGGAGTACAGTGACTCACACCAAAGAAAACAATGCTTAATTATCTTTAATAAAAGCTGCATTTTTCAAAAAACTTAAGTCCCAGAACAGCCATGTTAAGGCAATCTGGTATTTATCAGTGAACACAGCCCCTTCGTGGGACATGTAAGTGTTTGCCACAACATATGGGGAAGAACTGATTGATCCCTGAGTGTCCACAGCAGTGTGGGGGTTTGTCTCTGGAGGGTGCTCCGCCCTGGCCCACCCCAGTGCTGTAGGCCCCTGGTTTATTCCCTTTCTTCACCCATGTTTCATTATGCATGTCAGTGAGAGGACAGAAATGAGCTGTTAGAAACTCTCATTCACCCCAAAAAGCTGCAACCACTCAAAGACCAAATTTAGGCTAATTATTTGATAAGCAATTAGATGGGAGAGGTACAGGAAAAAATGCGTATCCAGAACCAGCAGGGTTGTAATGAGCTGAATTCTGCTGGTTGTGTCTGTGATGTGCAAACACCTCTGTGAAAGGCTGACTGTTACTGTAGCCACTTCTATGGCTGCTCAGACCTCTCCAAGAACCTGCTGTTCAGTCGCACCTGTGATTTTTTTGGTAGCAGCAATACTTTTCCTCTTTCTTCTATAGACAAAGCTGGTTGTCTCCTTCTCACCAGACACAGACAGCCCTCTTGCTCCTGGAACTGCCTTTTGCCCCTCTCTGTGTGACAACATCAAAACAGTCCGACAGAAAAATAAAGTAAAAACATGTTTTTTTCCAAATAACAGAGAAGAAAATCTAACCACAGAAGAATAGAATTGTTAAGGCTGGAAAAAAAACCTCTAAGATCAAGTCCAGCTATCAATGCAGCATCACTCATATTCACCATCAAACCATGTCCTTAAGTAATACAGCCCATGCCTTTTGAACATTTACAAGAATGGTGATGCCACCATTGCCCTGGGCAGCTGTGCCAGGGCTTTACAACCATTTCCATGAAGATTTTTTCCCCTAATATCTAATCTAAACCTTCCATGGTGCAACTTGAGATCATCTCCTCTCATCCTGTCAATGGCTCTTGCAAGCTAGATTCACTGGGAATAATATGGCCCCAATCTCAAGCTCAGTGGCCCTTGGCCCTGAGCACTTTTGAGCACCACTCAAGGCTTCCTGGGCTGATGTGGTTTGTGAGAAAAGCACAGTGAAGCACTGAAGTGGTGCTGCTTGTGCAGGACTGTGAGGTGGGTTTTGGTGCCACATTCTTCTGCCAGTGGCACATAACCTTGCTTGCCCAGGGGGTGGCCAGACTGTGGGATGAGAGCAGACAGCTTGGATCAAGGGAGGGAAGAGCAAAACCACAACTTTGTTTCCCAAACTACTGAAATAATTCTCCTTGCTTTGGCACAGATTCTTAATCTTCTCTTGTTGCTTCCATGGGACTTCAGTATGTGTTTAAGCGCATGTTTGATTAGTCTCCTAGATTAGGAACCACTGAAAACAGATAAAGTGCCTTGTATAAGGGTATGCAAGCCAAAAGAACGGTTGGCACGGCAACAGCTGAAAGATTTCTCTAGTGCAAGAAACTAGAGTACCCTGAGCAGAAGAGTGCTTGTGTCTCCTAGTCTGTCCATCTGATGACTGCCAGGAAGTCCAGCCAGCACCTGGATCCTCCCAGCCACTGAAAGGTGGTCAGCCCTTGCTCATAGCTGGGTGACTGGGTAGAGACAATCTTATTTTTTGGTAACTTTGCTCATCACTACATTGTATTTATGAAATCTCCAAGTGGACCAAATTTAGCCTTCACTCAGGAATTTTTTGTATAATTGTTCCTGCCTCTTAAGTCAAATCTGTGTTTGATCATGGCTTTTTCTCTAGCCACAGACATATCCAGTGCAGCCCACACAGTCTCGCAAGAAGACATCTGTACACTGACACATTTATATGACTTTTGAACATATTATCATGGGTACTTTAGTCTTGGCCCAACAACATGCATAGAATTATGGAATATCCTGAGTTGAAACGGACCGCTGAGAACCCTTGAGTTGAACTCCTGACTCCGCATGGAGCAACTGGAAACTTAAACCATGTATCAGAGAGCTTTCTCCAAAGATCTCTTAGGCACTGGCAGGCTTGTGGCTAACTAAAAAAGTTGTTATTTTTTGTTACTATAAGTAGCAAGTATGTAATGTCTCATGTTGGTACGTAGGCAACTATATTACAGGTAAGGTTCCAGCGCTCACGAGTGTATAGCCTAATTCCTGAGTTTCAGAACCTTTAGAAATAATTAGTAGTGATGAAGACTACTCTTTTGTTCAGCTGTTAACTTTTAACACTGAAGAGTGAATAGGGTCTTGACCATCAAAAATGCTGAATAAGTTGAATTTTACAGGAGATGCCATGATGAACAATGCTACTGTGACCTTGCTGTTTATTGGGCTGGGTTTGTAATACCACAGTGTTTTGAAAAAATCATTTCCATATGAGTACTGGTGTGAGATTTTCCTTTCTGAGCATACCTTCCTCAGCTTGTCATGGTTTTCACTGCCATGGAGCTGTGAGCAGGAACCTATCTGTTTTCAATTGGTTTCCAGAACACTCACATATTTAGACTGTGCAGTTAAAACTGATTTATATTGTGGATATGAAGTTGCAGTTACAAACTTCTATTGAATAATCATCATTGGTAAAGAAAAAGCTGAGACATGCTTCAGAGAGATGAAATATCTCTGAACCCATGGGCTTTCATCTGAGTGGCGAAGTACAGAGCCATCTGCTATCATCCTGAGGGCTGAGAAGGGCCTGGAATGTTCCATCATCAGTCTGCTAGGAGATCTCAATTTGATACTGAGTGTTATGCAGTATGTGGTAATGGATGTTGGAAGGAAAATCCCAAATAAGGTCAAACCTCTCTTTGCTTTTCTTGCCATAGTCCTGCTTCAGAGGGAGCTCTGTTCACTAATCATGATACCATGGTGGGCATGAGGGCAGTCCATGCTGAACCATGTGTGGTTACAGCTAGAAGGTGACTTTTAACAACGCCTGCCTCTGCTATTCTGTTGGCTCTTGCTGGTTGGCATGTGCCTGCGGGCACGGTTTGGGTGTGGAGAGTGCACTTGTGTTTGGCAAAGGAGACAAAGACTCTGGACATTAAATTTCAGTCCCCTGCTGTGGCATGACATCTGTGTGCACTTGGGTAAATCACTCAGTTTCTTGGTGTGCTTCCACTCATTTTCTGCAAAATAACTCACAACTGCATTTCTTAGGGGTTTTACAAAGGAAAATATACCAGGGGTGGGGAGATGTGCAGTTTCTACCTGAGCCTTGCAACCACACCAGTCCTCCCTGGGGTCCTTGAGTGTTTCACTTCTGCCAGTTGTGGTGGAAGTCTGTGGTCCCTCAGTGCAGAGGAAAAGTTTAGATTAACAACTGTGTATTCCTTATACTCACATTCACCTGTCAGTTTTGCTCAGTCTCCCAACATGATCAAGTCATACAGGAATGAGTTGAAAGGTTTGGATTTGTAATTAAAACAGGAACACATGGCTTAGTTTCCTTCTACCTGTTGCAGAA